TGAAAAGTAGGCAAAACAAAATAGAAATAGAAAATATTATTTTATTTAAATATTTAAACAACACGATGACTATAATTGAAAAAGTACTTTTTTATATGTTATATTGATATATTATTATTAATTATTATTATATAATATATGATTAATTAATTAGTTTACTTATTTAATTAATTATACTTATATTTATTTCATTAATTATGTATAAAAAGTAGGCAAAACAAAATATAAAAAATGTAAAATGCAAATATAATATTTAAAATATAGTTAAAAATATTGCAATGGAATGTGATCTCTTATGTATATTTTCATATTTTTTATTTAATAAAATATATATAATAAGTAGGCAAAAAATTTCAAATGCAACTAATTTAATATAAAAAATATGTTAATGTTTAGGATATTCATTCTGCCCTGTATAATTTTTCCATAATTACAGTTATTTGCATGAAAATGAAGCTTTCATTATAGATGGGAAGATCTGGACCATCCTCCTCTGCTTTGCCATATTTGTTTGCTCAACAACAACTCAAACAAGATAAAAACGGCCAATGAGTTTGTCATTTTGCATTTCGATGCATTCTTGATTTGAGTGAGAAAGCATGCAGTTTGTGCAGAGGACTGAGCGCAGCTGCAGTGAGTTGTGCTAGGGTCGTTTTGTCCTTGCGTGTGTCCTCGGCTCATCCGCTGCGGTTCTGGCTGTGTGTCTGGATGTGATGTGTGGCTTTGTGCATGCGATTAATCTCTGTGAATTGACGGCTGAAATGCAGCACTGATGCCAAACTGCGGCTGTCATCGGCTCTCTCTCTCGCGCGGTTTCCTCTGGCATGTGTGCTTCACTTTATAGGTTCAGAAGAACATGTGTGATTTATGAGGAACAGAGCGGCTGTCATTGACAGGACGGACAGTCTGTGCTCGGCGCTGACGCACAGACGTGCTTTTGTTTTGATCTGAACCTTCAGCCAAATAGTTATTTACTCACTGTTTTAGGCTGCTTTGGTTTTAGGTGGAGAAAATCCAAAATAAGCTGCAAAAGCACATTCAGATATGAAATGCACGCTTTACACCAGTAACTCACCACGATGAGGTCATTAAATGTGGTGTAGAAACAGTTTTCACTCAGAAATTGCTAGTAAATTGCTACAAAGAAACAGCGAGTAACACATGGAATTAAATGTGAAATTTTGAGATAGAAAAACTGAAATTTTCTTGTAAAATGTACTCCAAAGATCTTTTCTTTTCTTTTTTTTACTTCAGAAATATATAAACAATGCAATGGAAAATGGGCTATTATTTGTATATTTTTTATATATTATATATTTGTAAATTTTTGTGTTAAATTAAATGTATAATTAAAAAAGTAGGCAAAGCAATCTAAAAAATATAAAATGCAAATATATATATATATATTAAACATTTAAAATATACCTAAAAACAATGCAATGGAAAGTGGACTATAATATATATATATATATATATATATATATATATATATATATA